GCCAAATAACTTTTCAAGTTGTACGGCAATTACCAGAAGGAGCCAAGCAATTTCAATGACTTTTATCTAACACAATAGCCCTAATAACACATTTGAACAGACTATCGTACGGGTATAATTAAATAATTGAATACAAAATACTACAAATCTATTTTAGACAACCACTGAGGAAAAAAGTTTATCTTCGATTCGTTAACTCTAACACATAATAGCAATTAGGGTAAACAGTGACCCATAGTAACGGTATTGGTATTTTATTTTAGTGATGACATAAAAAATAAAACACGAAATTATAAAGCTCAAATATTAGTTTTTAAGACTTTTATTCAGATTAAAATATATTTAGTACAATGTACAGTGAAAAAATATCTAGTCATCAAATTTTTATTTTTAAGCATACATACATATGTATAATGATTAGTATAATGTTTAATAAAACTAATTTAATAATTTAATTTATTAAGCACTAACTTTGTCAATTATTTCACTACAAAAACTGTCATGAGAAATCATTTTAATGTCATGAAAATAAAATATTTATTAATATAAGCTTAACCTTGTGCAAATCAGCTAGCAGCTTTTCAACCGTCATTGGTTAAAAGCGAAAATCAAATTTTTAAAATAAACTTAGGAAATTTGCAATTTTTTATATAAATTATTATAGTTTTAATGATAACAATGTAATAATTTGAATGCTACATACATTTTAATTGATTAATTTTTAAAGTTTTTTTGTTCCTAGTATAAAAAAGTTATGCAATTAAGTAGCTCAAAAATATTTTCCTTGTAATTGTATAAATTGAAAATTTAATTATTTTCACGATTAATGTATTATATTTTCCCTAATCTAACTGAAAAAAAAAGCAATCTAACTGAAATAAAATCATAAGCTCAAAATTCAATTTATGCATAAATTATACATATAAATAATAGACTTTTGCATTTATTTCAAATATAACTATTAAAAACAAATTTTTTTAATAAAAAATAAACTGGCGACAAAAAAAATAAAAAGCAATATAACACAGTCGAAACCCTATACATATATGTAATACTAAAGGAAAAATCAAATTTTTTATAACAGTTCAAGTTTTTAAATTCTAAATATTTATTTTACGGGAAGCAAAAAAATTTGAAATTTCAAGAATTATTTTAAATTAACAATAAAGAAAATGCCTAATTTTTAAGAAAAAAATAAAATATAAGTAAATGTAAGCAAATAAAAAATTCAAACCATAAAAATGTCTTGTTGTATATGTTTTATTTTCTTGATTAATCGAAACCAGATAGAATAAAGTCAGGTCAAACCAATAGTTTGTATTGCAACACTTTTCCCTTCAACAAGTGAAAATTCTGCTTTTAAACACAGTCTAGGTATACCTATCACACTATTAATATTATTTTCATTCATAGACAAAACTATTTCTAGGATTGCATATATATCGGATGATGCATATATGCAGTCTTTGAAATAAAGCAAAAATTAGTATAAAGTGGGGATTTTAAGTGTTAATTGTGTGAGTTAACAAAAATAATTAAATTTTTTAATGTCATGGAATTTACCGTTAGCTTTTCGTGTTTATAGAAATTTGAAAAAGCTTGCGGTTTCGGAAATATAAGGTGTCAAAAATTCAAATTTTACAAATTTCAAGAGGCGATAACTTGAGAGGGGGTGGAGATGGAAAAAAATTTTCTTCTAACGAAATGAACTATTTGTTAATGTCTAAGAGCTCCTAATTTCAAGCTTCTACAGGCTGGGGTCTAGAAGAAAAACGACATCAAAAATTTGAAAAAAAAGGACTTTAAATAACAGTAAATTTGAGCGGCCATTTTGTTTTTCTTAAGTTGAACTATAGTATACCGCGCAAGGGGAAGCAAGCCACTGCCTTTGTGCGTTTGCAAAATTTGAAAAATGCTTATGGTTTCATTGCAACAAATAGTTAAAAAAGGCCATTTTTAGGGTTTTGGGGGGGTATAACTTCTAGAGGGGGGGGAGACTGGTAAAAATTTTGTTGTACGGAAATAAGTTTCTAGTAAAGATCTATGTACGTATAAAATTTCAGCTTTCTATCATCAAGGGTGTAGAAGTTTTGCAAAACAGACACACGGACAGATGGACGGACGGACAGAGTGAAACTAATAAGCACTTTTTTTCAAAAATTTTTCGGAAAAGTGCTATTTTATTGTTTGTTACCGTGGCATACATTGTTAAAGTTTAAAGAAACAAAATGGCCGTTCAAATTTACCGTTATATAAAATCCTTTTTTTCCAAATTTTTGAAGTCGGTTTTCTTTTAGACCCCAGGTTGTAGGAGCCTGAAGTTTTAGCAGCTTTTAGATACTAATAAATAGTTTGTTTCGTTAGAAGAAAATTTTTTTCCATCTCCACCCTCTCAAGTTATGGCCTCTTGAAATTTGTAAAATTTGAATTTTTGACGCTTTATATTTCTCCAACTTTTAAAAAATTTCTACAAACGCAAAAAGCTAACGGTAAATTCTGTGACATTAAAAAATATAATTATTTTTCTTAACTCGTGCAATTAACCCTTAAAATCGAGCCCTTTTTAAACTAATTTTTGCTTTATTTCAAATACAATCGATCATCCTAAATATATGCAATCCTAGAAATAGTTTCGTATATGAATGAAAATTTTTTTAATAGTGGTAGATATACATCTGCCACTGTGTTTAAAACATAAATTCCTATAATATGCAAGACGTCTTAATATTTTTTCGTGTGTATCCAAAGTTTTTTGTTCAGAAAAAAAGACTATTCATTTCTTTAGTACACATATAAATTTCGTACGGGAAGGCTACATCGCCGAGCGGCAAAAAATTTTATTTGTGGTTTAAAATTTCATTTTATTTTAAATTCAGTGAATAATTATATTAATTTTTTGTGTTATTAAATAAAATGAAGATGTTCATAATATTTAGTATAAAACCAAGGTGAATTTGAAAAAATAGTACTAAAGTTTGTTTAAAAAGAAAATGTGACTTAATAAATTAGTAAGATTCGGTGTACTTTTTAAAGTTTAATTGTAATCATATTTAAATAAAATATAATAATATATTTGATTACGTTCATATAAATAAGCGTTGTGTAATATAAATTACCCGAGGGTGTTGCGAGAAAAGGAGAAAAGGAGAACGTAAATGCTATATTTACATTTACTTTGCCAAAGAACGAGGACATCAGGGACAAATGTATATAAGCATTAAAAAAAACGATTTCGACACCACCGAAGTATTTTTAAATTCTAAGAACTTTAAATTTTATTTTGTTGCCTGTGGCAAATTTAATTTAATCAATTACCTTCTATTAAGATTTTAACAATTTAAAAAGTATGTAACTTAATCTCTAATAAAAGAAAATTAAAAAATTGTAAATTTAGTTGAATACATAGGTACATTTATGTCATAAAATTTACTAGTTTTAAAGAAAATTTATTAAAAATTTTATTTTTTTATATAAATATGTTATGTAGTTTATTCAAAAACAATTTTGTTATGTATTTACTATTTTGGTTATAGCTGAAAATATTTTGTTAACCGTAATTTATTATGTAATTTGATACCTGTAATAAGTAACTAGTTTGAAAGAACAAGAAATTTAATTTTGTTAATATTTAAACGAAATAAAATAATTTCTGCATATTTTTTGTATTTAATCGTTTTTTATTTTTCAAACATTCCAAATCACCAAGAACATTTCAAATTTCTTCGAAAATACCTAATATTAGAATATATTTCTTAACAAAAAGTATAATGACCAATTTTGAATACACGGTATGTATGTTTTAGTAAATTGTGTATTACGGAGTCTTGAGAACAAGGATGTCTGTGGTATTACGGAGTCTTGAGAATAAAGATGTCTGTGGCATTACGGAGTCTTGAAAATAAAGATGTCTGTGGTTTAAAAGCAGTATTTTCGCGAATTGTTGAAGGGACAAGTGCTACAATACGAACCATTGGTTTGATCCAACTTTATTTGTACACATTTTATAACTGTCAATTCAAAACTTACCCTAATTTAAAAAAAAAAATCACTTAATTATATACTATGTACCTATATATATCAGCGACATTTACTTTTCAAGGAAAAAAAAGCATTTGGCTTAAAATATAATTTTCAATATGAAGGAAAAGACTTACCTAAAATTTTTGGCTTTACTGAAAAAGACTTACCAAAATTTTTTGGCTGCCTTTAATATTTTTAATTCGTTGCGCTTGCATTCGAAATCCAAATTCCTGCGCAATTAGTAAAAACTTTGCGCAATTATGGGAAATACCCACTATTTCATATACAGGTCTCTAACGAGACACACTTTAATGAATAATTAAATAAAAGAATTAAATAAAAAGAAAGCACGTGATACGTCGGAACAAAAGGTTGTCAAAAGAGTACTGATCACCTTGATTTCTATATCGTTATATTATCGGGGTTTGAATCTGATTTAATATATTACTGACAATATATTGTCAAAATATAAAATCGCAAATTTTTTAGGAGATTATAAAAATTTTTGCGCCTGATATTAAAATTGGTAACAAACCTCTATTTTAAGAATTCAAAAGTTTTCGTATATCTTTTTAAGACATAATTCAAAAATAAAAAAGTAATAATTAAGATATTATGTTCGAAAATAAAAAAGTTTTGCTTGAATGGAAACACAACAATGACAGAAAATATAAAATGTTTTTCAAATTTACGTTGTCCACCAAAAAATTGCTTTTTGTTATTTTCTAAAATTAACGTGGCAAAACAGAAAAAATTTGACTTCAAGGAACTTTAGATTTCCGAAAATTTTGTAATTATATAAAACATCGCCATAAAAAAGTGATAGTTTCAAATCAACCCTGGAAACAAATTATTATATTCTGATGATATTAATTCTGAAATAAAAGTTTTCTAAATAAAAAATTATAATAACATTTATTTCAACTTGTATTATTTTTAATATGTATTGCTTTAATTATGTAAGGACAATAGCAGTGCTATATGTTTATATGTTATAAAATACAATAAAAAATTTTTCTATATACAATAATTTTTAATTCAAAAATGAGATTCTTAAATTAAATATTTGTTCCTTCCTTTGTTTGAATGCATTTCAAAAATTATTAGTAATAGTAATAATTTTAGATACTACTACAATGCCAGTTTTTTTAAATACCGAAAAACTTTTAAGTAAGTCCTATACCATATGATTTATAAGTCTATAGCAAAAAATAATATAATAAAAACGTTTATTATAACGTTAAAATGCGGACAACAAGAGTTTATAAAGGAAACAGTTCACATAATAAATAATAGGGAAATAATAATTTCAAATTTTTTCGAAGTAACTTCAAAATTTTATTAAATGTGCTATAGAGGGTTTTCCAAAAGCCCGCGATAAATAACTTTTAAATATATACAATACTAATATATTATATAAAAATATAAAAAAGTACTTAGGCTTTAAATTCGGTAATAAAGATCATCCAATCAACAGATAGGTATATTCATATTTATCTCAATATATTTGTAGCAAAGTCGACCACTAAACTTATTATGATGAAATTTTATAATTAATTAAATTTTTTTTAATTAAAATCTCAAAACTTAAAATTTAACTATTTAGAACAAAAATATGTATAGGTTATTTAATTTAAATTGTATAAATGTCACTGAATGTTAAGAAAAATAATATTAAAATTAATAAAATAATATCAGTCTTTGGGAATACTAATGTTAACTACAAATTGGTTTTAATAAATTTATCCTAATTAAGTGATTCAAATTTTTCTTATGCATGATTTTCATACGTACATACATCTAAATCAAATGATTTTCAGAGTCATAAATGTGGATGTTGATTATTTAACTGTCTATCAATATAGTCTTCATTAAATTCATTCAATGTTTGAGCTGCAAGAGTATTTTGTTGGTCAGTTTGTTTTTTAATAGCTGCTGTTAAAATAGGTTGCTGCAACTGTTGCTGTTGATGACGATGATGATGGTGATGTGGAAATTGTTGTTTGTTATATTGCTCGTGATTTGTGTTAGATAAAATTCGGCTATTATTTGTATCATTTTGTGTACCGCCAATAGTCAAACGTACATGTAAGCCAGATTCTTTTATTAAATTAACAACTTCTCCATGACTCATACCAGCTATATCAATACGATTAACAGCTATTATTCGATCACCTACTTTTAGTTCGGTACATCGGTCGGCTGGACTTCCAGGCATTATTTTTCCTTAAATGAAAAAAGAAAGTTAATTTTTCAAAGACTATTCAACAAAGATTTAGGTCCTTATTATGATCGGCGAAGCGAAAGAAATTTTTGGCGAATATGAATTTTTCGTATCATAATTAACGAATTCGCCTAAATTTTAGGCAAATGACCTGCCAAGTCTGTTGAATGAATATTCTGTTTTACAAGCTTGGCGAATGAAATCAAAAATCAAATTAATACATGTTTTTTTTTATTGGATATTATAGCATAAACTATCTGTAAAGCAAGTTTATAAAATTCTACAGATTATTGTAAAAAACATTGATTGTTTAGTATTAATTTAAGCGTAAAAAAATGAACCAAAAACAGTTTTGAGCACTTAAATAAATTAATGGACAAAAACCCCGTAATTGCTAAAGCATAGAAAAATTAAATTTTTGTGTAAAAAAGCAAAAACAATGTACGTATGTGCGATTTTAACCTTATTATTTTCGGTAGGTTTTCTGATGTCTTGCGGTAGCAACATTTTGGCGAATAAAAGCCAGATAATAATTTAAAATATCACCCGATTCGCCTAGTTCATTCGACTCGCCTATCCATTCGCTTCGCCGAATTTTTAATAAGGCTATTATTAAAAGAGTTTATTATTTTTAGTAATACCTATGGTTGAACCGTAAAACTGGTTTGAAGATGATATTATAACAAATCCGAAACCTTCATTTTCGTGACGACTGACGACTACATCGTAAGGATGTTGAAGAGTTTGTGGCAAAGACAGAAGTGCTAAATCATTTGCATTATGATTGACATTTATTCTTCGACGTAATATCATATTTACTTGTCCACGTGACGCCGCTTCGCCCATTAATTGTACAACTTTATGATGTGAAGCTCCGACCTTTAACAAAAATTTGTTAAATTTATTTTAAAAAAGAAAACTCAACAACTTACAACATTTACACCATCAATACTTAAAATTTCGTCACCAGTTGCAATACGGGGATCTCCATCAGCAGAGCCGCCTGGCACAATATGTCCCACTGTCACTTGAGACCCTTCTTCTGTTCCACCAACAATTCGAAAACCAAATCCGGTGGTTTGCCTTTCAAGTGTAACCTCAGATAAAGTGAATTCATCCTAGATTTTATAAAAATGAATTCTAGAAATGTTCAATTATTGTAGATTTTATGTCATACTTCTCCTACGGGAATCATAAGGTTATTTGCCCCATCTGCTCCATATTTCCAAAGTCCAAAGTTTTGTTGATCAAATTGGCTGTGATGCTGAGTTTGTTGTTGCAAAATTGGAGTTTGTATTGGATACGAATTTTCTAATGGGCTGAATCCTGATTTCCTTTGGTCAAAAATGTAGTCATTGAAACGCTTTTGATTGTGAATTCTTCCATTAGAAGGTAATGAATGTGGATGAGAATATCCTGTCATATTTGGAGAACCCTGAGCTTGGTACTCTAATAAGTAGCGATTATAATCTTGGCAATTATAACAATAACAAGTCTCATGATGATATGTAGGTACAGGTGCCATAATAGGCATAGGAGGTGGCGGAGAGTATAACTCATTAGCATCGCTGCCAATAGATTTGGAATATGAACCCGTGCCGTATGTATTATAATCTTGGTTTATTGATTGGCTATCATAATTTGAATTGTTATTAAGTACTTGGAAAGGATTGTGATGAAACTGTTGCTGTATGTGGAGATTCAAAGAATGAGGATGGTACAAATTTTGATTATCATTAGCCAAAGAAGCTTCTGCAAGGCGTTCTGTTAAATTTGAGACCAACTTAGGATAAGGATCCATGAACGGTATATCGTTATTTGTTGAATCTACTTCATGTAAACTATTATTAGATTTAGCGTCTAAAGGAATTGATTTACTAATCTCATTAGAATGAAAATTACTGCTTAAATTTTTCTCCGTAAGAAGACCACTCGTGACAGCTTCAACTTCTTCATTTAATTCGTTTGAAGGTGTTTTTACTCGGGCTCTTCTAGTGTCTACTAATGGAGTTTTGGGGCGAATTGGCAAGACTTCTTTTGGCTGAGTACTATATAAATCAGCAGTTGGTGTTTTACTTCTATATAGTCCTGACGCTATGTTTTCTTTCGTGGTATTTGTTTTACGTAGTTTTTGAGAAACACTTAAGCTACAATTTAAAAATTTGTTTGTAGAATTTATGTTGTTTGAAAAATGTCTAAAATTTGATGAAGATATATTATTATAAATTTTTATTGGCATATTACTTCAAAAATTTGACTTACCCTCTCTGTATTTTGACAACAGTTTCCATTGTTTTCGAACATTCCTTTAATACCTTAACGACTTCGCTGTGTGACATATGCTTCACCACAGTCGAGTTGATTTCCAATAATATATCACCCTCTTGCAGATTCTTACAACAATTTCTATCTAAAATTTTTTTTACTTTTTGACCGTACGCGCTATCAGTAATTGTAAATCCAAAACCCATTACTCCCTTATTAATTGGTATTTGTAGAATTTCTGATTTTCTAGACATTAAAATTTCATCCTCAACATAATTATCTACAAAATCATTACTTTTACCAGTTGCATTATTTCCACTTGATATAATTTTTGCTAAAGGATTATGTTTTTGTGATATTGTCATTGGCGGTAATGTACCACCAACAGCTCCAACTGTATCAGACAATTCCAAAAAATTATAATTACCATCCATATTTAAATCTATTAAAATTCTGGATTTGGACCCTGGTTCCGCACTAATACCATCAACAGCAATTGTAGTTACAACTTCTGTGTTTGGATCATTTGGATCAAATGGTAAAGGATAACCTCTACATATTTCTAACGTAACAGTTTCACCAGGTAAAATTGATTGAAATACATTAACCATTTCATGATGAGTGAAACCTAATACGCAAGTGTCATTCACATATACTAATACATCACCAGTTTGTAGTTTTCCGTCCAGCCATGCGGGTCCATTTGGTACAATTGATTTTATTTGTAAAAATTCTTCAATATTATCATCACCACCAACTATTGTTATACCTAAACCACGTGATGATTTTAATAATGTCGTTGTTATACGCTCGCCTTGCATTTCATTTGGATTTCTTGTAAATGTATATGGTAGTTGTAATATTGGTGACTTATGATTTTGTTGTTGCTGTGGCTGTTGTTGTCTATTTGAATTATTTAAAGCTGTGTTGTGATTAATTAATGTTGTATGACTATTGTTACTACTACTACGGTTACGTTCAATACGCCTTTTAGCTTCAAGTACTGGATTTTCGTATTGTGTTCTACGATTAACATGATCAATAAAATATGTCCCATATTGTGGATCATCGATTTTTTCCCAACCGTACGGTAATTCATCATCACTGCAATCTTCTAATGACTTTTTTTGAAATTTTGATAATCTTGGATCTAACCAGTGTGATGTACCAGTATTGTGACTATAAAATATAATTAAATTAAAAAATGTAGTTTTTTTATACCAGATTATTTACTTACTCAATAAAGTATAGCTCTCCACTTTCAGTATAAGCTTTTTCCCATTTTGGTGGTAAAGGACCTAATCCATCATCATCATCTGGATTATTTGCTGTACTGAATCTAGGTGCACCAACTGGTGGTAAGTCATTGAAATATCGTGAATTTATATCTGAAATTATTAAATTTAATTTTTTTTACAAATTTAAGTACGTTGTATTACATTATAATAGTAATTACATGGACGAAATTAAATATATACAAGAAGATTCAAGATTTGAAAAAAGTCTAATTTAGTTTTTCAAAAACCTTCAAACAAAAATAATTAAAAAATTTTATATTTGCTGTAGTCAAAATAAAACTTTTTCGAAACTCTGACCTTTTATTTTTTATGATTACAACTTGTAATTTTAAATGAAAATTTAATGTTTCACCAAAAGTTTTGGAAAAATTTTATAGTGTTAGATTAATAGAATTATTCTTTTTACTGCTTATTCTGGTTTAAAAATCTTTAAATATATGTGAACAACCTAAGTTATGTGAACAGTTTCTTCGTTTTTGATTTCATCGCTTCATTTTTTCTTTAAGTAAATGCGTGATTTTTGAGTAGAATTTTCACTGCAGAAAAACAACACTTTTCAGCGGGCCTGTTTACATTTTTGAACATTTTGAAAAATGTATTCAACCGATTTACTTGAAACTTAATATATAATAATATACTAATATATATACCAACATATAAGCTTCCCCCGACTGTCCGCGAAACCTCCTAACTTTAGAAAGAAATCAGGCGTCAACAACTGGACATTTACTACGGGCCAAATATACATTTTTACGTATACAAAGAGAAATAATCAACCAATCTCATTTAAATTTAATACATATTTAATTTCGAGGTATTAAAGCAATGAATCTATAAATTTTTTGGAAAAATCAGGGCTCAGAAACTGATCTGGGGGCCATATCTATTGAACGAATTAATGAATTTCTTGAAAATTGATATTTGAGTTCTGATTTGATTCAAGATTTGTAATTACATCACATTGTTATGTGAAAGATTTTTTATCCTATTGAAATTTAATAACCCATAAATTTTAAATGTCTTCGAAAAATTTTACATAAATACGGCTTTTAATAAGACCACCAAAATTTCCTACATAAAATGTAAGAATAATTGAAAATGGGAATAATTTTTATACATATATACAAGATAGAAACATTTTTACATACGCAGGTATTAGATATTTTCAAATGAATTCTTAATGATATCATTCTATAAAATATCCATTTCATGTGTTGTAGATTCTTATTTTTAATTTTAGGTTTCCTAAGTGGGTTGAATATAAAACAAGCAAAAAAATCTGATGTGATCAGCACATAACCGACCGCAATGGATATTGTCTAGATTAGTAAAAGTATTCCAGAAGATTATGAAAATGCGTTTTAAAAAAAAATATTAAATTTCAAGAAATTGCATCAATTTGTTCCGTACATACAGCAAAAAATCTAAAATCGGCTCCGAAATTAGTCTCCGAGCCCTGATCTTTCCGAAAAATTTTTAGATTCATTGTTTTAACATTTCGAATTTAAATATTAAATTTTAATGAAATAGGTTTATAAACACCAAAATTTAAATTTGGCCCGTAGTAATCGTCCGTTGCTGACACCTGATTTCTTCCAAAAGGAGGTTAAGAGATCCCGCGTACGGTCGAATGAAGATTATATATGAAATTTCAAGTAAATCTGTTGAATATTTTCTTCAAAATGATCAAAAATGTAAAACAGGCCCTCTAAAAACTCCAGTTCCCGAGGCCTGATACATCCCAAAAGTAGATCAATCCGTGCTACAGCCGAACTTGATATACACGTGTGCACACGCAGGCCGACAGGTTGCTAAAAATAGTTTATTTACACTTCCCTACTATGGACAAGTGCGTTTCGACCGAAAACTCGATATGCAAAATATTCTGCCATCACATAACCTACCTAATTGTACACACAATGCGGTTGGTAAAAATAAGGAAGATTTTCTAATTTAAGTTTATTTTTAGTTCTCAATTAAAATATGTTTCATAAAGATAATAAATATAAAATAATGAATGTTATGGTATATTTTGTTTTATTGAGATGAAACATTTTTAAATTTTTCAGGAGAATTTTAAAAACTTTAACCGGAAACACTATATAATTGTACTTAGAATTCCTACAAAAAAACGTAAACATTTTATTTGCTTTCAGATTTGAAATAAGTTTGAAACATGTCATTTTTTATTTGTTAGACGGCAATTTACAGTGCTTGTGCAAAATTTTAAATTACAAACCTAAACTGAAAAGCAGACAAAGTTGCACGTTACAGAAAGAACTAAATGCTAATCAAAATGTGCTAAATAAATATACTTATCCGGAATTAAAAATGTATGTATGTAAATATGTCCCAATTTTATTTTTCAAAAGTGAACATAAAACAAATACTATTTGGCAGCTGATGGTAGCTCCTGAATGCCTTATGTCTCACAATTTTGTCATTTTAAAAGCATAGATACCCACAAAGCACCATAGATAAATTTTAAAAATTATATAATTAAAAATATTTGTAAAAATAATAGTGAAAATTCAATGAACCGAATAAATTGTCCTGGTAACCCATAAATAAATTTAGAATAAATGGAAAAAAAATTATTATTCACTTCATTTAATTTTCAATCAAAGAAAAGGTGAAAAAGAGAGATATTTTTGTGTGAATTCTTCAGACTTTTTTTTATATACATACATTATGTCCTAAACGGAACATAAAAACACAAGAATAATAAATTTGATAGGTAATATAAACACATTAAAAATGTATGAGAATTAATTTGTATGTATGTAAATACACTGTGATAAAAATATTAACAAAATATAAATTATAAATTATTTCTTTATTTCGGCATGCATACTGTATAATGTGTATCGTATGTACATATGTACATATGTATATCGACAAAATGTTTAATCCATAACATAGTTTGAAGAGAATTATAGAAGAAACAGAAAAGGATGCAGGGAAATGGTAGACCTAAAAAGATTTTTGAAAAAAGAATTTGGATAATTACATATCAAAAATTCGTTAAAATTTTGTGCAAATATCAGAAATATACACGTACATAATTAACACATTATGTACGAATATTGAAAATAAAAGGAGTTCTAACAACTACTTTCACATTGCATCCAAAAAAAACTTAAATAAAATAATGTTTGTACAATTCGTGAATATTGTAAAAACTGCGTTAACTTAGATGAAGTATGAACATTCCATTTTTACCGACCGTATTGTGTATACAATAGGTAGGTCATGTGATGGCAACAAATTTTGCATATCGAGTTTCCGGTAGGAATGCACTTCTCCATAGTAGGGAAGTGTAAGTAAACTATTTTCAGCAACCTGTCGGTCCGTCGGTCTGTCGATCTGTCGGTCTGTGTGTGCACGCGTGTATCTCGAGTTGTGCTGAACCAATTTTGATGAAATTTTATATGTAGGTTTATTTCCACCATGGCACGGATTGATCGACTTTTGGAATATATCAGGCCTCGGGAACTTCACTTTTTAGCTGGCCTGTTTTACATTTTTGAACATTTTGAAGAAAGTATTCAACCGATTTACTTGAAATTTCATATATAGGCTTTGCTCGATCGTCCGCGAAAATTCCTATGTTTTGGAAGAAATTAGGCATCGGCAACTAGACGTTTACTACGGGCCAAATATACATTTTTGTGTATATAAAGAGAAATAATTAACCGATTTCATTGAAATTTAATATTTAAATTCCTCGTATTGAAATAATGAACATATAAATTTTTTGGAAAGATCAGGGCTCGAAAACTGATTTGCGGGCCGATTTTACATTTTTCACCATTTTGAAGAAAATATTCAACCAATTTACTTGAAATTTCATATATAAGCTTTGCTCGACCGTACGCGAAAATTCCTTACTTTTGGAAGAAATCAGGCATCAGCAACTGGACGTTTACTACGGGCCAAATATACATTTTTGCGTATATAAAGAGAAATAATCAACCGATTTCATTGAAATTTAATATTTAAATTCTTCGTATTGAAACAATGAACATATAAATTTCTTGGAAAGATCAGGGTTCGAAAACTGATCTGCGTGCCGATTTTACATTTTTCACCATATCTGCGGAACGAATTGATGGAATTTCTTGAAATTTGAAATTTGAGTTCTGGTTATTACCAAAACTAACTGGTATGTATTTCAGGGAATTTGGGTATCACAAAGCGAAACTCTACTAAGAGCCAAATTTACATTTTTCTCGGTATGTTAACTACAGGCTTACTAATGTCCTAACAATTGGAAAGAAGTATTTAACAGACATTTTTATAATATTCTGTAATACTTTCACTTAACTAGACAATACACATTGCGGTCGGTTATGTGCTGACCACATCAGATTCTTTAATATGGAAGTATTGTGTTTCCAAAGTCTATTGTAGACTATAAATTACTTCAACTACAGACTTTTCTACATATAAGCCAGTGATTCCCAAAGTGGTCTATATAGACCCCCAGGGGTCCATGGAGTTCTGCTAGGGTCTACAAAAAAATATGAATTTAATTAAATAAATAGTAAGTGGGTCTATCAAAAATTTAAAAACTCGACAAGGAGTCTACGAGGGAAAAAAGTTTGGAAACCTCTGATATAAACACACCAATTTACAATAAATTGTCACATGTAAAAATCCTATAAGAATGTCAAAGCATACGAATTTTACAATTTAAATTTTAAATTGTAAAATTCGTATGTTTTGATGTAAACACAATCCTCTATAAACTTTTTACACTGCACTAATTAACTAAGATCGGGGAGTACATTTTTGAAATATTTCTAAATAAAAAACTAACGATTTACTTAAAGCCATTATTTATTCGTTACTGATATGATTGATCACATTAACTTGGATCAATCACATAGGTGTGTTTGATCATAATTAAATGATTGCGAATAATTGCAGATGCCTGTTAAACATCAGGCTAAATTTGCGATTTAATCGAAGGGAAAATTTAAGGAGCATTTACACATGACATTCATCTTGTAACCTTGCAAAACTTTTGACACAATGTTTTAAATATTTTCAAAAGTTTATAAACTGACAACATGAAAATTAAAAAA